CTGAGAGCAGCAGGTCTCAACCAGATGCTGCCGGGAGGCAGGTGCTAGCGTCCACACCCAGACATGGGTCCAGTCCAGCCCTGCTCTTCCTGGTCTCCAGGCAGGGCCCTCCCAGGGTGGACATTTCCCATCTCGGCCTGGCCAAGGGCTGTTCTGGAGCCTGAGCCTGTCCTGCACAAGTACCATGGACAGGGGTCAGCCGGGCACTGAAGAGGAGTGGCAGAATGGGCAGGGCAAGGGCCCCAGCTGGCAAGCTGGAGTCAGGGCAATTCCAACCAAGAAACGGTGGCAAGCCAGCTGCAGTGTCTCACGCCTGTAATCCCAGCACTTTGGGAGGCAGTGGGGGAATCGCTTGAGCCCAGGAGTGTGAGACCAGCATTGGCAACATAGAGATACCCTATCACTACAAAAAAAAAAAAAAAACGGTATGGTGGTGCACACCTGTTGTCCCAGCTACTCAGGAGGCTGAGGTGGAAGGACTGCTTGTGCCCAGTGGTTGCAGGCTGCAGTGAGCTGTGATCATACGACCACTCCAGCCTGGGCGACAGAGAACCTATCTCTAAAAAAAAAAAGTAAAATAAAATGAACAATAAACTGGGGCAGAAGCTGAGCCAAGCAGAGGTGGGCAGCTCTTCCTCCAGGGCCCACCCGGCTTGCCAGGCACTCACTCCAAACTGCTTCATTTTTGGAGGGGACTTTACAGGACTGAGAGGTGTCAGAGCTGCTGGTGACAGGAGCAGGGAAAGCACCATCCAGCCAGCCCACAGGGCCCCATGTAGGGTTCCTCTGGCAGCATTTCGATGCTTCCTAGCAGGATTCTTGGGTCCTTGGCCCCCAGAGCCATCTCCCTCCTCGACCTGCTGCAGACCCACATAAAACGTGATGCTGCTTGGCTTGGGTCTGTCCTCACACTCTGTGGCTTCCTGGGTGTCCGCCTCCCCACAGCCTGCCTCATGTACCTCCCCAGACTTCTCATGCGTGTCAGGAGCCTCCTGTGGACTCTGGCTCTACCTGCCTCTGCTTAATCAGGAACCCACAGCGGGAAGGCTCCTAGGGCCCACCTGCTGAAACAAACACCTCCCTGCACAGCCTCTCTGCACCCCCCGCCCTGGCCACCTCCTCACCTCCCCACCTCCCTGTGCTTCCTCTGGGGCCCAAGACCTGTCTGCCTCACTTGAAACCCATGTTGCCTGCTGGCTTTGTGTCCCCAGACCAGAAGCACCTTTGGCAGCCCCACACCCCTCATCTTGCTCTGCGTCAGCACCTAAGAGTGGCGCTGGCAGGGAAATTGGCTTTGAGGGGAACGGTCAGGGGGCAGCTTTAGTCCTGGGACAGGTGTGTGGCCTGTGGGACAGTCTCTTCTGGGGGCACCTCTGCCCAGGTAGGAGGGATGCCAGGGTCTCCCAGCACTGCCGGGCACTTTGCTGGGGCAGGGGGTGATTCTGTTGCTCACAGCCCTGACACAAGGGCATTCCCCGCCCGCCCTGATGCCCACGTCCACCCACACAGGAGGGGACCTTCAGGGGAGCCTGCAGGGACTCTCGGCCCAGCACTGGCCATCTGTGTCCCCTGCTTAGCTCCTGCGCTGCCAGATCCCAGCCAGACAGCAGGGACTCACCCCACCTGCCATCCCCTTTGTGCCTGGGTGTGATGGGTGCTCAGTTTGTGGGGAACAGCCAGGACTCTCGCTAGGTGGAGAGTGGCAGTGGAGGATGTACCCATGCCATCTGCCCTGCCGCAGCGTTTCCTTCCTGTTCCCCTGCATGTCTTCCCTCCCTTGGAGGGAAGTGCTGGATTCTGTCCCCCAAGCGCCCCTCCACATGCCTCGTACATACCAAGCATCATTCTGCTGTGGGCCTGTGGGGGTTCTGGAAATGAGTTCCTGTGATGAAGTTCCAGAAGGCTGCTCAGCTCTCCTAACCCCTGCACAGCCTGACACCCTGCTGCCACCCAGCCCGCCTCCCCTCACAGTGTGCACTGCCTCAGGGGGGAAGGGGGCCTCATCTTGCTGTCTCCATACTCAGTAACTATGTGTTGGTTGAAGGAATCAGAGCATCCCTGGCCCTTGTAACCCAACCCTCAGCAGCTCCTCCAATCCTGTGGACCTCCTGGGATCCTGGGATGGCTGACTGTATGTGTCCACTTGACTGGGCCACAGGGTGCCTGAGCGTTTGGTCAAACATTATTCTGTTCCTGGCGGGGGTGGGGGGGTTGCATGAGACTAATACTTGACTCTGCAGACCTTTGCATTAGATTACATTGACATTTTAATCCGTAAGGCAGATGCCCTCCAAGATGTGGGCAGGCCTTGCCTAATCAGTTGAAGGCCCCACTATTCCATCCACAGTAACCACCCTCCCTGACAGGCAGGCCTCCCTCCTCATCTGGCAGACAGAAGTCAGGGCACTAGGGGCTGGAAACCAATTTATAAAACTGGAAGGGCCAGGACAGAAGTGATAGCACCCCGCCAGGGAGGTCAGGAGCAGGAGGCGGTGGCCACAGGAAGTTCACCAGCAACCCAAGGAGCCCTTTCCCCAAATGTCTGTGGGATCTGGGTGCTTGGCAGCCAAGAGGGGCTGTGGCCCTTCACGCTGGACTCGCGATGCCTGGACCCTCCGGGCCTTCTCACACGGGAAGGAGAGGTTTCTCCCTGAATGGAGGGCAGGGAGGGGCCAGGAGGGGATGTGGGATCCCACCTCTGCTGAGCCTTCACAGAGGGGGCCCTTGACCTTTGCACTCAGGAAGGAGCCCATGCTAGCTGACACTGGAGTTAAGAGTGGGTGAAGACCCTCCGGGCTCCTGAGCGCTAGAGGAAGGTGGTCCTGACATGGTTTGGGAGCAGAGGAGAAAGGAGGTTGAGGTTGGGGAATCCACCCCTGTTCTGGGCTGGGAAACACTTGCAGACCACAGAGATTTCCAGTGGGAAGTGACGTGGCCCCTCCCTGGCTATGTCCCTGGCTGGCCCCTGCGCTGATCAGAGCCAGACAGTGGGCCACTATCGGGGACCCCCTAGTCCCCCTAGTGATGAGAGAAGAGAAGGTGGTGGCAGGGTGGTGGTCAGGCAGGACGTGTCAATCCTTGCCCACTGGCGCCAGGCTGCGGGGGAGCAGCTTGGTGTGGCCAGAAGGCGACAGAGAGGTCCCTGCAGGGGATTCCAGCTTCACCTTGTCCAGGATGGTCTTCTTGATGGCGGCTGGTGACACCTGCTCCTGGTCAGCCATGGACTGCAGCTCCCTGGAGAGGCAGGGAGAGGTTGGGTTTGGAGCACAAGCGTGCACCCAGGAAGAGGGAGCGAAGCCCACAGCTCCCAGTGTGTCAGCCCTGGGCAATGCTGTCACCCTCATCTCAGCACCTTTATTCCCTTCTGCCAGTGACACACCCCACACAGCTGCTGGGCTCCCCTCACCTTATTCCCCTCTGCCAGTGACACACCCCACACAGCTGCTGGGCTCCCCTCACCTTATTCCCCTCTGCCAGTGACACACCCCACACAGCTGCTGGGCTCCCTCTCACCTCACTGGAGCTCAGCATCACCACATCTCCCCGAAGCACCCCCCAGACCTGAGTTCTCATGGCCCCACCACAGGATGTGGGTTTATGCCCGTCTCTCCTGCAGGCTGGAGGTGAGGCCAGGCCCCTCATGTTCCCCTCACTGCTACAGGGTGGCACTCGCAGAGTCTGAGAGCGTCTGGACTGGAGAGTGGGCAGTGTGGCGAGAAAAACGTCCTCACCCACCCTGCAGACCTGAACTGGGGACAGCAGCTCTCACCCTGGCTCTGCCTTTGACCAGCTGTGGGATCCCAGGCATACAGTAAACTCTCTCGCCTGCTCTTTCCTTCTTTCACCTTCTATGGAATTTTCCTTGTGCCTGGATGCTGCTGTGTGTCCTGCTGGTCTAACTTAATCCCCCAGCGAGGGCAGGGGGAAGGTGGAACCAGGCACACAGGTTTCCTAACGTGCCTGGCCACCCTGCCACCCCACTGGTGTGGCCCCTGGCTCGAATGACGCTCCTGGCTATGACGATGGTGGACCTATGTGGGGAGCACAGGGCAGAGCATCCGGGTCCCTCTGTGGATGTCCCCTCCTCGCAGGAAACGGAAGGTGGGGAGGAGCACTGCACACGGTAACCCAGGGAACCTCAGGACCCCATGTCCTGCCCAACGCCAGGCCAGAGTTCAATACATATCTGCTGAGTGCATGAATGAGCCGATGTATGCGAGATGGAGGCCTCTGCCATGCAAGGACTGGAGACCAGGGAAGCGGGCAGGGTGGGGGCCCACCGTGTGCGGATGCAGGAGGCCTCCACAGCGTTGATAAGCAGAGAGCGGAAGCCCCCACTCTCCAGCACGTGCAAGGCATGGATGGTGGCCCCACCAGGAGAGCTGACGTTGTCCTTGAGCTGGCCTGGGTGCTGTTCTGAGTGCAGCAGCATCTTGGCAGCCCCCTGCAGCCAGAAGAAAGGCTGACGGCTGTGAGCACCCACCTGCCTCTGCAGGGCACTGCCCCAGCCACTGCAACACCCACTGACTCCCCACTTGGCTCCTCCCAGTGAGGCCCCAGGGCCCTGCAAGGAGTGGCCCCACCAGAGGGTCAGGAAACACACTGACCAGGAGGGCCTGGGCCCCGAGGCGGACTGCCAGGCGCCTTGGAAGTCCCATCTTCACGCCCCCATCAGCCAGGGCATCCAGGGCTGTGAATGCCTGTGGGGAGAAGGCACCCTGAGCCTCTCTCCTGGGCTTCTCCTTCCCTTCTGGGCAAGCTCCAGTTCCCACAGCCTTGGAGCCCTCCACCGTGGCCCTCCCAGGGGGGCAGGGACAGATGTGCCCTGTGGTCCCGGGAAGTGTCCGCCGCTGCCATCTGCCCCCGCAGTCCTCACGTAGGCGGGGCCGCTGCCACTGAGCCCCGTGACGGCATCGATCAGGTCCTCTTCCACCTCTGTGCAGAAGCCCACGCTGCTCAGCAGCTGCTCCAGCAGCCTCCCGTCCTCCACCTGGGCATGTGTGCCTGTGGCGTACACGGTGGCCCCCTCCCGCACCACGACGGGGATGTTGGTCATGCAGCGGATGACCCTGGGGGTTGGTCGAAACGCTGACAGCTTCTGGAAGAGAAACCAGTGTGTCTGTCTGGCCTTGGATGCAGTGCCTAGATGCACCCACCCCCCAGAGCAGTGCCTGAGCTGTCCCAGTGGGCCGGGACACTGCAACCCTTTTGCAGATGAAAACTGAAGTACTGAGGGCCAGGGCTGTAGACAGCCCCTCTCCACACCCCACTAGGCCTGCAGTGCTACCTTCTCTATGGAGCCGATGGTGACGCCGGCCGCACAGGACACCACGATGTGCCTGTCCTCAATGTGGGTGCCTATCTCATCCAGGATGAAGGGGATGATGTGTGGCTTCACAGCCAGGAAGAGCACATCACTGTGCTGCACCGCCTCCTTGTTGTGGGGTGTCAGCTTCACCCCCATCTTCTGTGGGGGGCAACAGGTGGGCTTAGCCTGTTCCTGTGGCTGTCTGCACCCCCACCAAGCCAAGAGCCCCACAGGTAGAACGGCACAGAGAATGCTGGAGTTGGGGGTGGGCAGGGCTGGGGGCTCAGGGCTCTGACCACCGCCTTGATGACCCTTCCCACCCAGAAATGGAGGAACTCTGTGTGGAATGTGTCCCTGTTGCAGACAGAAAAGGAGCCTCCATTCACACCACCGCCCTGCCACCAGCCTCGGACTGCCGTCCCCCAGACCCCCGCTCTCCACGTGTGAGTGGTGGTCTCAAGCAGCCCCCACGTGTGTTCTTTGGCTGCCCGGCCGTGGCCCCACCTGCCAGGCCCCCAGAGGACCCCTCGGAACTTTAACTCTGTGCAGGGAGCTCCATTCCAGAGCAACACCCTCCTGTTAGCTGTACACACTCTCACCACCCAGGTCCCAAGAGAAATTGGCGGGGCAAGGAGGCAGGGTCCATGAGACTCCAGCCCAGGGCCCCTGCCCTCACTGGGTGGGAGCACTCCTGCATCTCCACGCTCAGCCCCACAGGGACTCAGTCTCCTTTTCCCCTTTCACCTGCACCTACCCTGAGGGCAGAAACCGTGGCCAGGTCCATGTCTGGGGAGCTAGCCATTATCTTGTGGGCAGCCAAGATGCCTGAGAGGGGAAACAGTTCCTCTTCATGGCCAGTTCTGGCTTCCCTCCCTCCCCATTCCCAGGAAGAAGAGTAAGACAGCACAGGTAAAGCCCCAAACACACAGAAGCTGCCAGTTCCCCCAGGACTCAGGTCTTGTGACCCAGCCCCCACCTTCAGCCCCCAGCCCTGCAGAAGTGGAAAGGGGCCAGTCTCTCCCACGGGGCCTCACCGTCCCCCACCTGGGGACCTACCTGCTGCTGTGAAGCCCTTGACCAGGGCAAAAGCCAGCTGGCCAGCGCCGATGAAGCCCACGCTCATGCTGTCGGGAGACCCCCGGCCCAAAGCCCCCACAGATGGCACCGGCTCTGCGGGATGAGACTGGCAGGATCAAAGCAAGTTAGGAGGGCAGTGCCAGCCTGACCGCTCCTCCCGCAGCCAGGTGCCCACCCGGCTTTCCACTTTGCTGTCCTTTGGCCCTGGCCCGCTAACTGCTCCGGATCCCCTAGCCTGAGCGGCGAGGGGTCCCGCAGCCACCGCAGGGGTAGAGGCTCCGCAGAGGAAATGACTGGGAAGGGGGACAAGTACGGGCAGGACCCGGCGCCCCGGGGGTCCCCCGTCTGGGCTCCCGCCCCGCCCGGAGCTA